GGAGGACTTTTGATGGTATTACATGGTACGCATTTGTATTACATGCAGAGGAAAACCACGGAAACCTCAAACGATTGTCCTGACTGCAAGGAGATTTTAACCCATGATCCGTCTACCTTTGAGGATATATATTTCGTCAGCACTGTGGTTGGTGCAACCCTGGAACAAAATTCGTATCAACCAACCTCCACTGGGATTTGCAACGGCCACGTCATTAGGAAGCAAATGCTGTACCCCTTGAGCCATCGAGGATAATAATGTTTTATTTATATATTTCTTTATCTAACATAAAAGTATATTCATTTAAAACCGTTTCCAAGTGTTTATCTTGTTGTCGATGCATTCTTATTGCACTTAAATATCTTAAGATTAAACTTTTAACTAATTAACTAAGAAGATGCATAACATAATTAATTAATAGGAATCAGGATAAAATTAATGAAGATTTTTTGCTCTTTACGTGTAAAATATTTTTTTCATTTCTTAGTTAATGATATTTACCAGTAATATTGTTTATCATACTTTCTTAATATTACTCTCAGCTATTTTTATGTATTCAGCTTTTATTATTATTCTAAATTAAAAGTTTCAATCCAAAAGCTGTGTTCCTTCATTTTTAAATAATCCTTCGTTCATATCCTTCTACTTAATATTTTATTTTTTGCCTGTAATTTATTTAAAGTTTTGCATTAATTAAATAGTAAATAAGGTATATTTATTTATAAGATGAGTTTTATGTAAAACTGAGTCCGGTTAGATATGTGATTAAAATAGTGCTTATAAAATTGTAAAGAATTATGAGGAATTAATTTTCGTTGTATCACTTAACTAACTGAATACTCGTATTTTGTACAGGGTGAAAAAAAAGTAACCAAAAAAAAAAGCTGACGCAATTATTAAATTGAATTATTTACCAACGCATTTAATCAAGCTAGAACAATTAGAATTTATTTTTTACTTTTTGCTCTTTTTAGTGGCATCATGTTATCAGATTAAGCAAAATATGTTTTTAGAAATTCATCCTATCAAAATTAAATGTGCTAAAATTGCTCGGGATCAATTCCTGATTGTCAAAAACTATTTTAATAAGCAATTTCTCCTGTATTTTTCCTTTCGGAGGACCATAAAAACCTATTTCCACAGTCCCTACAGAAATTATCGTGGTACCAATATTAGTATTTGTACTTATTTCAAAAACACAAATTAACATAATAGCAGTAAAACGTATTACCAAAAATAACTAAGCACTATAAGCGTCATCTAGAAAGCAGTTTTTTATGGCTTTTCCAGAAAAATAAGTATCACTTCGCCATTTATTTAGCTTTTAAATATAATACTTTTTATTTTTGTTACAATACGTATTTATTACAAAAATTAATTACCTATCATTGTTGTCAATAGCAATACAGTATTTTTTTTAATTTTCTCATGCTCATATACAAATACGAAATATTTTCCATTTTTCCTGATTTGTATGAGATCGGATTTTAAAATAATTTCGGATAATTGAAACTGTGTCAGTCCTTAAATCTTAACACGTAACGTCTTTAAATACAATACTTTTTATTTTTCCTACAATATGTATTTATTACAAAAATTATTTAACTATCATTATTGTCAATAACAATACGGTAATTTTTTTACGGTTCTCATGTTCATATGCAGAAAAAATATTTTCCATTTTTCCTGATTTGGATTAGATCAGATTTTAAAATAATTTCGGATAATTGAAACTGTGTCAGTCCTTAAATCTTAACACGTTAACTGCTATGAGACACATATGTCATGCCTCAATTGCATTTTTTCCAACATTATGGCTGCTGCAATGTTAAGCAGGATATTTTTCAATGCAGTTTTATAACGTTTTTAAATACCATTTAACTCAAAAAGGAGGTATAATCAAAATACTAAGTTTTTCTCCAATATGATTTTTTTTTTGTAGAAGAAAAGGAAACATTTTAGTGGATAATTTTACCACCAAAATATATCATACATCAAAAGGTTAGAGCAACACTTTTTACAAATAATTTAGAAATTGTTTAAAATTAACAAAATTCATATCAAATAACGACTGTAAACCATTATAATAGCTTTCTCTAAAAACAGCCATCAGCGCAGAGTACTTTTGTCATAAGTACATTCCAGTTTGTTTAAATAAGCGTCACTTTAATTTTACAAATCACGTTGAAACGTGAACTTTTTTATAACTTCTTTTAACGCAGAACAGCAGAAAATTGCTTTAGTTACATAAAATGATTCAGGAGAATTAGAGTTAATGGTAAAAACAGTCTACTTGCAGTTTTATCTGTGAAATTATCCATATAAAATTATCTAAACCAATTGCACTTCATTGTGCTTCTGCTGAATTGTTTCAAGTAGTGAACATAATGAGGGATCGATAATGATAGCTATTACGTCTTAAATTCGAGGGGAACATCGAGGTCACAGTTTTAAGCATGTAACTGAAAATTACGTAACATGTATAACTGCACGTATTATATATGCATCAGAATGACTAGACATCAGGAACATTAGACATTTTACTGTAGTTTTTAAGGATAGTGCTTAAACAAGAAATTCAGTGAATGCTTTCAAGATCCGCCTCAGTTTTCAAAGAAAAAATAGCCAAGAATAATAAATAGAAGAATTATTTTAAGCAAACGATTAAAATGTTTTTGAACACAATACTGTGCTTGTTGGCGGCATGGAACAAAGTGGAAGCAACAACACCTGTAACTCCGATAACAACCATACCTCCTCTGACAACTTTACCTCCATCGAATGAATTTTATTCTGGATCAGCTGCATCAAAACATCGCAAGGATAAAAAATTGGACGTGAAACCTTTCGCTGTATTTAATGGTAAGATGTAGTATTTCAACCGTCATTTGATTAGTTTGTTCACTCAATCAATTTTCATTTACAAAAACGATTTTCAATTGTGTTCGTATGTACTCTCAAACAATAATTTTTTATTAAGCTGACAGAAAAGAACCGAAAGAAGGTTTTTAAAACTAAGGTATTAAAATTAGTACAATCGTAATAGCATGTTAGGAAAACTAACAAGAATAATTTAATGGTAAAATGTAGTATTTGAACAGCTTTTCGATTAGTTTACTTATTCAATTAATTTTATTGATTGAAATTATTTGCAGCTGTGTTCGTATGTACTTTCAATCATAATCATGAAATTAATTTAATCGTAACGAAATCTTATGAAACTAACAAGAATGATTTAATGATTTCTTTTATCATTTCCTTACTTTAAGCTTTATACGTCTAATTATTATTTTGCACTGTATTTTATATTAAAACTTTTGGTTTTGAAAATACAGGTCGGAGCAAAGAAGTAATTTTATTCTTTTTATTTCATCTAT